ATATGATCTTGCACACTCCCTCAGAGAAGATCCAGACTGAACACAGTTAGAGTAGATCCACCACACAGGTCTGTCTGAAGACTCCTCTCTCTCTACTACAGAAACAGCAGAACCACAGTCCAGATTTCTACAGACAACAGTTGCTTCCTTCAGGGTCCAGCCTGAGCCAATCACTGGTCTCCAGTCTCCATGTTTCAGCTCCAGTGTTCCTGCACAGCGACTGTCTCCTCCCACCAACCTGACAGACTCTGAACAGAAACAAGAGAGTCATCAGTAAAAGAATAAAGTGAGTTTCATCAGAACAGAAATGAACCAATCAGAGCTGCAGCTCCTCTTCTACCTGAGCAGGTGAGTCCAACAGCTTTTCCAGGTGAGCAGGTGTTTCTAGCTGAGCCTGAGCTTCTACAGTCCAGGAGAGCAGACTCATGGCCTCCACACTGGAACTCTTTGGTCCACATTGGAGCCTCCACTTCTCCATAGAGCGCCCCCTGGAGGACTGAAGGAGCCCCACAGCCGAGCTCCCTACAGACCACCTCTGCATCCTGCTGGTCAAAGTCATCTTCACACACTGAGGACCACCACTGGTTAGACTGGTCAGACTTCACCTCCAGTCTGCCTGAGCACAGACTAGTCCCATCCACCAGCCTGACAAAGTCTGGACAGATAATAGAAGATAAAATAGAGAGAGAGAGAAAAGACTGAGAAGATCTGTAACCCAGAATAAAAATCTGTTTCTACAACGATCCAGAAAATCTAAAAGAACTAGAAGAAGAAGTTAATTAATCTGTTTATCGAAATAAGATGTTTACACTTATTTTTACATTTCACACACATATTGGCCTGAAATACACAAACATGAAACATATCCAGGTTGTTCCTCTATTGTTGAGAGGCAAGAGGGAAATAAAACTATAAAAAGAGTAACTGGTTGAAATAAATAATGACCAAACAAACAATTATCATTTATGAATTAAGGTTTCTCTCTGCTTTGGAGAAAATCCATCATTCAAATTGTGAATAAAATGCTTCAACAGCGACACCTGCAGGACACCCCTAGTGTTTTTAAGGAAAGTGCAGCTGCTGTTTCAGTGTGGGTATTTACCAATGGTGCTGGGATCATTACTGTCATATTTCCTTTGTAGCAGAGAAATAGAGCTGCTGTGTTTGAACTACTTTGTTGAGGATAACTGCCAGCTGTCTCTGAATACAAAGCACACACTACTTTAAAAAGCCCTGGTGAACCTGGACTTGTGATAACGCATCGTTGGGAAGAAAATATTGGAAGTGAAAGTACAGTAAGCTTCGTCTGTCTGATTGGAAATGGGGCCAGCTTTGATTCAAGCAGCAAGTAGTCATCATCAGTCAGCACACTTTCCTTCAGGTGTTGAACACTGGCTGCTTCTTGTTACATCTCACAGCCTTGATAAATACTCTATCTTCTGCATTAGGCCTGTAGGGTTCATCTGGAAACAACAGCAGTGAATACAATGATGTTGTTTTTAAGAACTCTTGGAAGCCATTGATTTACTGTTTCATTGTTATTGAACAGAAGAAAGTAGAGATAATCTGCCAACTAGTGTAAAATAACACGATGCTGTGGGTTGGTTTTCCTCCTGTCCTCCACAATGTTTGAGTCAGCAGCCACTGATGCACACACAGGACCTGGACACATGCATTAGTGGACAGATGTCAGAGTGATGAGGCTGCCACACAGTCGCTGCTCCAAGCAGTTAGGGGTTCAGTGCCTTGCTCAAGAGACCTCGGCAGAGCCCAGGAGGTGAACTGGGATCACTACAGGTGTGTGTGTGTGTGTGTGTTTGTGTGTGTGTGTGTGTGTGTGTGTGTGTGTGTGTGTGTGTGTGTGTGTGTGTCAACGTGGGTACATTACTGTCATTAATGATGTCATTGATGATGTCAGTGATGGGCTTACCTGAACAGGTGAGATTCATTATGAAGGAAGAGGAAACTGATCTTGCACAGTCACTCAGAGAAGATCCAGACTGAACACAGTTAGAGGTGATCACCCACACAGGTCTGACTGAAGACTCCTCTCTCTCTACTACAGAAACAGCAGAACCACAATCCAGATTTCTACAAACAACATTTGCTTCCTTCAGGTTCCAGCCTCGGCCCATCACTGGTCTCCAGTCTCCATTATGTTTCAGCTCCAGTGTTCCTGCACAGCGACTGTCTCCTCCCACCAACCTGACCTCCTCAGACTCTGAACAGAAACAAGAGAGTCATCAGTAAAAGAATAAAGTGAGTTTCATCAGAACAGAAATGAACCAATCAGAGCTGCAGCTCCTCTTCTACCTGAGCAGGTGAGTCCAACAGCTCCCAATACACTGACACTGAATACACTGGAACACTTGGTATCCATTTTTAAACACTTTCAAACAATAAAACAACATCATCATCTGCAGATTCATCTATTCTGTTCCTTCTGCTCAGGTACTCCACAATCTTTGCTCTCCACACAAAGACGATTCTTTACTTCTCTTTTCTTTCTCTATTTACCTGTTGAGTTGGGTGTTCCTTCAGTCTGCAGTGCTGAGGAGAAAATCAGAAAATACTCATCAGTATGAAGCAGCATTTTGAAAAGAGGACAGTCGATCGATCGTTTACACTTTTGATAGGCAAACTTTAATGAATTGCACCAACACAGTAGTTGTCTTTCTTTGTATGGGTCCATTAAAGGTGATGTTGACATCCTGCAGTTAAACTCTCTGAAGTGCATTTCTGTGAAACACTGTCCCTCTGATAAATGTTCATTTGATCAGAATCTGCTGACAGATTACAGATTACAGGACTGTGGTTCCGTTAGCACGCTGAGCTCTTACTATCACATTAATGCTGTCAGCGTCAGGACATGTGACATGTGTTCACTAATTACCTGATATTTATTAGTTCTGATGATTTAGTGAAGTTGACCTTTGACCCCACAGACGCACAAACAAAAACAAAACAAACGTCAATATCTCAGCAACAACTTCCCAGTGACAGTACGCACACACAGCTACACACACCTTCTGACACCACTGAATTATTGCAGAGAGATAATTACTAAAAAACAATCATTGACTAAAAAGTTCATTAAAAACTGGGTTTGATTTGATGAAAATCTGAAGGATTAAAACTTTACTGTATACAATTTTACACTGTTTTCCTTTTTTTCTTCCTTTCATACATCAATGTGTGTGTGTGTGTGTGTGTGTGTGTGTGTGTGTGTGTGTGTGTGTCCTACCTGAGCTCCACAGCAACAGCAACAGCACCAACAGGTGATCCATGTCCAGGTAGAGCGTCTCTCTGCCCGTCTGTCTGCTGTCTGCTCTGATGTCTCACATGTGCTGTCCTCAGTGTCTGTCTGTGTACAGGAAGAGGTGGAGCTTTACTGGAGTATATCTGACTGACTCTGTCACAGTAGTTATAAAACAGACACAGTTAGAGTCTTTAAACTGAATTAAACTGATTTAAACTGAATTAAACTGAATTAAACTGATTTAAACTGAATTAAACTGAATTAAACTGAATTAAACTGATTTAAACTGAATTAAACTGTGTGTGTTTCCTGATGGTTCTCTTTGTTAAATAAAGTTTTAGTCCATTAAAGGTGATGTTGACAGTGTGTGGTCTGCAGTTAACTCTTAAATGGACAATCCTCTATAAATGTTTTGGACTTATAATTAATTGCTATTTTCTAATGTATGTAGGCTGAAATTATATAATTATGACCTTTATTTTCCAGCTTACAGACTGTATCTCCCGACATACATTGCCCATTGAGGGTATAAATTTAACATTTTTCCCTCTTGCGTAACCCTTTCAGTCCCGCCCACTGTTTAACTGCGTACAGGAACCGATCGCTCTATCTGGCTGCCAATCAGCAGATCAATATCTATGGTCTTTCTGAGCAGAATGAGCCGTCACTCTTCCTGTGTGTTGCTATGGTGATCCAAACCACATGTGAGCAGTTTGCTTGTCTGTTAGCACTCGCAGCCATTTTGGATTTAGTGGTCATTCATGGTGATTTGCACACGTTGTATTTGAACCAACTCCTCCTATTTGAATTGATCGGATACACTTCAGATTTGGACACAGCCATCTAAACACATTCACCATTAAAAGTTGTGCTATTTACGACATCCCGTTGAACGGCGTGCCCGTGGCCGTGGCGTGGAATTTCAAGGACTCGCCATGAAAGAGGGATTCGTCATAACTTCTGAGTACCTGATCTGATCTCAATGAAACTTCATGTCTGATAAGAGTCCCGCCCTGAACACGTCTATGTGATAATATTCAGTAATAGTGAGAGCGCCACTACACTTTTATGTATCTCTTCCAGCAGATTGACCAGATCCAGCTGAAGTTCTGTCATTTATCATAGAAACATCTGAACTAAACTTCTACTCCTCTCGTCTCTCTAACCCACAATGCATTGCTCACAGAGACAATGAATGTTAATGATCCTGTGGACACGAACCTTCAGACAGGAACCGACTCAGCAGGCGACCAGTCGGTGAGAGAGAGACAGATAATGTAACAATATAACAGAAATATAACAGATAATAACAGATAATAACATAATAATATAATAATGTGATAATAATATAATATAGTGATAATAATATAATAATGTGATAATAATATAATATAGTGATAATAATATAATGTGATAATAATATAATAATGTGATCATAATATAATATAGTGATAATAATGTGATTATAATATAGTGATAATAATATAATAATGTGATAATAATATAATAATAATATAATAATGTGATTATAATATAGTGATAATAATATAATAATGTGATAATAATATAATAATAATATAATAATAATATAATAATATAATATAGTGATAATAATATAATAAAGTGATACTAATATAATATAGTGATAATAATATAATGATAATAATATAATAATGTGATAATAATATAAAATAGTGATAATAATATAATAATATGATAATAATGACCCCAGCAGACAACAGTGAGTGACAGATTTTTATTTGAATTTCAATGTCAGACGATTTAAACAGAAACATAAAATAACATCTCTTGTTGTTATTGATACACATTGAATATAATATGAAATACAGTCAGTTTACTCACTGACAGAAAGGTTCATTTTGTCGTTTCTATCAGTGACTGAACTGATTATTTTACGGATATTCAGGATTTTCTTCACCTCCTGGGTCCAGGTCCCGGCTCAGGACCAGCGGACCAACACCTGGTCTCCGTCCTCTATGGAGTAAAACTGTAGAGTCTTCAGGTCGCTGTCGATCTCAAACTCCGTCCCAACTTTCTGGAGAGAAAAGAGCTCGACTGTGTTAATGTGGAGCTCAGTGCTGGAGCTGGCCTCTAGTGGCCATTAGAGGAACTGCAGTCTGCCTCTAGTGGACATTAGAGGAAGTGCAATCCGCCTCTAGTGGCCATTAGAGGAACTGCAGTCCGCCTCTAGTGGCCATTAGAGGAACTGCGGTCTGCCTCTAGTGGCCATTAGAGGAACTGCAGTCTGAGTTGTACCTTGAGGCTGGTGTAGGTGAGCTTCAGATCTGCAGCAGGAACCTTCAGCAGTCGGTACAGGAGTCCCTTCACCTTCTGGACCTCCATGGAGGCTGCGGAACAAAACACAGTTACACTCATCGGGATTCTTTTTCAGCCGGAAACAGCAGAGAGAGGAGGAAGTTTACCTGGAAGTTTCTTCTCGATCGGCTTCCGCTCGCCGTCGTCTGGACACACAAACGTGATCTCTGGAGAGGAGAGAAGATCGGATCAGAACTGGCTTACTGCGTCTATTTTAAAGTTTTCTTAAACCTCTAGAAATCAAGAAGACCTCATGACCCCTTGTTAAGCTTTGGCGACCCCTAGTGGGGGACAGGACCCTCAGGTTGGGAACCTGAGTGTTAGCCAATCAGAGGGCTGAGAGCAGAAAGAGGCGGGACTAACTTAACAGCTGGTTTTTCAGGGCAAACGACTTCGGCTTCCTCAGCTCGCCTTCCTCAGGAGCTCCGTACTCTGTAACACAGAACGAGACCACGTTCACCTTCCACTGTAATCAATAACACACACACACACACACACAGTCACATGGTGGCGTTGTGGGCGGGGCTTACTGTGGATGAGGCTCAGGTAACGTGGGTGCTGACAGGTGAACTCGCTGCCGGGCTGAGCCCCCCCGCCCGCCTTCAGCCACTCCTCTCCAAACATCTTGATGTAGTCGAGCTCCGCCCCCTTTCTGTCCTCGGGATGCACCTGATGGAAACCATGGCAACAATAACTCTAGATTTCTAGACTTTTTGTTGTTGTTGTTGTTGTTGTTGTTGTTGTTTAGCCCCCGTATGTTTACAGCTCACCTTGCTGCCGTTCAGAACCTCCAGTCCACCCAGTTTGGCGATCAGCAGCTGATCAGCTGTTTTAGGCCAACTCGTCCACCACACTCCACTGAGAGAGAGAGACAGAGAGAGAGAGAGAGAGAGAGAGAGAGAGACAGAGAGAGAGACAGAGAGAGAGAGAGAGAGAGAGAGAGAGACAGAGAGAGACAGAGAGAGAGAGAGAGAGAGAGACAGAGAGACACAGAGACAGAGAGAGAGAGACAGAGAGAGAGAGAGAGAGAGACAGAGAGAGAGAGAGAGAGAGAGAGAGAGAGAGAGAGAAGAAGAGAGAGACAGAGAGAGAGACAGAGAGAGAAAGAAGAGAAGAGAGACAGAGAGACACAGAACAGAAAAGACAAGAAAAAAAAAATATATAAAAACAAGACAAAAAGAGACAGAGAAGAAGAGAAGAGAAGAGAGAGAGAGAGAGAGAAAGAGAGAGACAGAGAAGAGAGAGAGAGAGACAGAGAGAGAGAGAGAGAGACAGAGAGAGAGACAGAGAGAGAGAGAGAGAGACAGAGAGAGAGACAGAGAGACAGAGAGAGAGAGAGAGAGAGAGAGAGACAGAGAGACACAGAGACAGAGAGAGAGAGAGAGAGAGAGAGAGAGAGAGAGAGAGAGAGAGAGAGACAGAGAGAGAGACAGAGAGACAGAGAGAGAGAGAGAGAGACAGAGAGAGAGAGAGAGAGAGAGAGAGAGAGAGAGAGAGAGAGAGAGAGAGAGAGAGAGAGAGAGAGAGAGAGAGAGAGAGAGAGAGAGAGAACAGAGAGAGAGAGAGATTATCGGCCGCCGGACAGTCAGACGAGGTCGGTGACTCGAGTCGGTTCGGTGTGTCCCGTGCTGTCGTCAGTCGGCGTCGGCCTCAATGACCAATCTGATTGGTGGAGTGCTGGCCTTTGACTAGTGAATCAGTGAGTGCACGAGAAAACCGGAAGTGACGATGGTAAACATACGACGCCAACGGCAGTATCTTGTTATTATTAGCCATCGTATTTTCTGTTCAGCGAGTAATGACAACAACGATCCTTCTTGACTACTATCAACACTCTCTGATGAAAACAATGACTGACGACAGCGTGCTCTGTGTTTACTAGGTCTAGAGTGATCCGTCATTTCCAGTTTTAATTTTTTGGGGCGACAACACAGATTAGCGCCACCTGCTGTTATGGGGATGTATTACGCCTTGCGCACGCGCAGAACGTACGCTCCAGTCGGCGTCAGTTTGGTGTGCACTTTTTTGACTGACTTGGGGAGACGGAGCCGACCTGTCCTTTACAGGTTGAATGTGTGTGTGTGTGTGTGTGAGAGAGAGAGACACAAATATTTCACCATCTTTAAAGCAGAGTCCTACCTGAGCTCCACAGCAACAGCAACAGCACCAACAGGTGATCCATGTCCAGGTAGAGCGTCTCTCTGCCCGTCTGTCTGCTGTCTGCTCTGATGTCTCACATGTGCTGTCCTCAGTGTCTGTCTGCGTACAGGAAGAGGTGGAGCTTTACTGGAGTATATCTGACTGACTCTGTCACAGTAGTTATAAAACAGACACAGTTAGAGTCTTTAAACTGAATTAAACTGATTTAAACTGAATTAAACTGTGTGTGTTTCCTGATGGTTCTCTTTGTTAAATAAAGTTTTAGTCCATTAAAGGTGATGTTGACAGTGTGTGGTCTGCAGTTAACTCTTAAATGGACAATCCTCTATAAATGTTTTGGACTTATAATTAATTGCTATTTTCTAATGTATGTAGGCTGAAATTATATAATTATGACCTTTATTTTCCAGTTTACAGACTGTATCTCCTGACATACATTGCCCATTGAGGGTATAAATTTAACATTTTTCCCTCTTGCGTAACCCTTTCAGTCCCGCCCACTGTTTAACTGCGTACAGGAACCGATCGCTCTATCTGGCTGCCAATCAGCAGATCAATATCTATGGTCTTTCTGAGCAGGATAAGCCGTCACTCTTCCTGTGTGTTGCTATGGTGATCCAAACCACATGTGAGCAGTTTGAGTGTCTGAATATTTGGCTATTATTTACAGTTTTTTCCAATTGCTAAAACACAATTTTGCAAACTAGGCTGGTTTCATCAAAATACTTAACACAATTCACAAAACACATGACCAAACTGCAAAATACCTCATATATCCTGTAAACTGAAGCACTGCAACCAGGGGCGGACTGGGACAATAATTTAGGCCATCTCAACCAAATTAACGCAAAACACCAAGAGTGAGTTAGGATGGGCGCCTACTGATGTAAGAGTGTAAAATAATAGAGCAAAGGCTCCACATGCACCCACATACAGGTTTTTCTGTTTCTTTCCCCTACAAAATAAATGTTAAATTGACCATTTTTATATGCATTGGCTATGTTCATATGACAACAAATATGTTCTTAATCTCAATGGGATTTTACCTGGTTAAATAAAGGTTAAATGAAACAATATAATACAAGGATTTCAATATTCATATAATTTATTATGTTGTGTCTATGTTAGTTAATATTCTAAAATTTGCACTTACATTTCTTTTATTAAGTCAGTTTTATCCCATCAGCTTCCACAAAGTGGAACTAACCTTCTCATGAAGCTGGTGGTGCTGGATAGGCTCTGGTTGTGTGTCTGTTGTCTCCACTAGTGTTTAATGTCTGACCTGCTCCCTTACTGACAAACAGGTCAGTTATTTTACAGCACTTCGCTGAATCTGTGGCTCTCTCCCTCTCTGCTCCACCTTTCCTCTTGGGCTGTCGATCTCGCTCCATTTTTCAAGCATGTAGAACTACAGGTGAGGGAAGGAGGAGGGGGAGGGGGTGCAACTTGGTGTGTGTGTGTGTGTGTGTGTGTGTGTCTGCAGTGCTGTGACAGAGAGCCTCAGAAAAAGAGAGGAGGGGGTGTGTTTGTGCCCAACGTTGCTGCTCAGTCTGTGTGAGCTTCAGTGAGGCAGATACCCTAATGAGCCGCACCACAGATTGTTTATTTCAAAATCAAGCGCGACCCCGAACCGAACCTCTGGTCCCGACCATCGGCGATCACTGAGCGGGACAGTTCAGCCGCCACTGCACACTCTCACACACACACACACACACACACACACACACACACACAAACACACAGAAACAATGTTCTCATGAAGCAGTTTTTTTTTAATTGCTCAAATTTAATCCAGATAATAAAGTACAACCCTTCTCCTCCTTCAGTTAAATAACATACAATATATTATGTACAGTGTGTGTGTGTGTGTGTGTGTGTGTGTGTGTGTGTGTGTGTGAGAGAGAGAGTGTGTTTATTAGCTCTGATGCTGCTATGATTTGTTGCTGTTGGTCGGCTGGCTGATCTTTGATAAATCCCCGAACGACGCCGTGGCCGAGCCTCGCTTCGCTGGTTTGGCCTGAAAAACAAAAACACGACAACGTTTAAAAGATTCAACCAGTTTCTATAAAATGTCTCCTGAAAGTGATGAAGAGAAACTCACTCTTTGATAAACTGCTGCATCATTCATATAATGAACTTTATTTACCATTGAAATGTCTCCTGATGAACAGAATAATAAAAGAAACACCCAAACCGAACGCCCGTCTCACCTGTGACTCATGAGGCTTCCAGCCAATCATGTAGAGGATCTCGAAGGTGGCGGGGACGGACCCGTCCTCGCTCCCGTACATCTCTGAATCAAACACAGACATGATACACTGCAGGTAAAAGAACTGGTCCATGTTTCATCTTAAAGACCGTCCAGACTGTATGAAGACACATTTACAAACCGTCTGCTGGGTCTTTGTTCTTTTCTGTGAGGAGAAAACTAAAATATATATTGTTATATTTAAAGTTTAGGTTATTTAAGGTCTCAATTCTGAAGAGCTGAACACTGAAAACACTGAATGTATCATAAAAGAAACCTACTGAGTCTGTATGATTGTTAAACACATAAAATAAACCTAATACAGGCAGAGAATTGTATAGAAACTGGGACTACAGCCGTCTCCTTCTGCTCTCTTTATGCTAAGCTACATTAGGCTAACCAGTGAGAGACAATACGACTTTACCAGCTCATCAAATAATCACAATACAGAGTTTCCCAGGTGTGGGACCAGGTGTGGTACCAGGTGTGGACCAGGAGTGGGACCAGGTGTGGACCAGGTGTGGACCAGGAGTGGACTTACCTTTATAAATAGCAGCTGCTGCTAATATGGTGTCTCTGTGTAGCAGTGACCTTCTGTTCCAGGCACAGTTACTCTCACCCATACCTGCACACAAACACAGATTATAGATTATATAGATTATAAATTATATAGATTACAGATTATATAGATTATAAATTATATAGATTATAGATTATAAAGATTATAAATTATATAGATTACAGATTATATAGATTATAAATTATATAGATTACAGATTATATAGATTATAAATTACATAGATTATAGATTATAAATTATATAGATTATAGATTATAAAGATTATAAATTATATAGATTACAGATTATATAGATTATAAATTATATAGATTACAGATTATATAGATTATAAATTATATAGATTATAGATTATAAATTATATAGATTATAGATTATAAAGATCAATGTGAGATTTTAATGTGAAAAATAAATAGGTGCAATTTAAACTGTTTCTACCTTGTAAATCAGTCATAACCTCGATGATTCCTGGATAGTGAACCTGAACTTCATCAATGTCCTGAAACAGAGACACAGACAGAGAGAGAGAGAGGGACAGACAGACAGAGACACAGACAGACAGACAGAGACACAGACAGACAGACAGAGAGACAGACAGGTTTAACTGGTTATAAACAGTCTCAATCTAATATTAAAGCCTCTTTATGAACAAACTAGATGTTGTTGTTGAAATCAATGAAACAAGAAGAATTACTACCACTACTGTCCACAGGGGGCGCCACATTCAACACAAAATAAAAGTCCCCTGTATGTTTGGTTGGTGTGTTTCTCACCACGGTGAGCATGGTGAAGCCGGCCCGGCCCAGCAGGTTGCCCAGGTCGGTGACGGCGGTGTAGGGGGAGACGTGGGGGGAGAATCCTCCCTCCCTCTCGGTCTCTGCGAGCTGGAGGGAACACCGCAGCTCGTACAGGGTCTCCCCGCCCACCATCGCCCCGATGAACACGCCGTCCGGCTTCAGCACCTGGTGGATCTGAGCGGAGGAGGAGACCGTCAGTTAAAGCTCGTTCCTCCCAAAGCTCTCCTGTTAAAGGTCCAGTCACATTTAAACCACTGGTTCCCAACCTGAGGGTCGGGACCCCCACTAGGGGTCGCCAAATCTTCACTGAAGGTCGTGAGAAAACTTAAAAATATATATCCAGTAGGTCGATAACTCAACATTTTGTTCACTTCTGTGTTCATTTTAAAGTTTAGATTTTTATTTAAGACGTAAACTCTGAAGACCTGAACTCTCTCAGCCTTCAGTCTCTGATCAACAGACTCATCCTGAGTTAGAAAACAACCAAAGAGCTGAGAGAACAAAGAGAAGAAAACAGTGAATCTGACACAACAGAAGCCTGGTGAGTCTGTTTGAGTGTTAAAAATAATACAAATATAAAATAAACTTCCTAAAAATATCAGGAGAACTGATCTCTGATGGAAATAATCTGCTCCAAATTCAAACTCTTCCTGCAGTTATTGTGTTCACTGTTTGTTGTTCTCTGCTGTTATTATTGAATTTAATATGAAATATACATAAAACCTGTCACTTTGTTTCGTAAGAGAGGAAACTACGACCTCCAGTGGGAGATCATCACAACCACACATATAAAATCATTCAGTGTTCATTGAACAGAAAGGTTTGCTCACCTGTTTGAGAGCTCCAGGGAGGTCGTTAATCCAGTGCAGGCTGCAAGAACACAGATTCAGTGATTTAGAGAAGATAAAGAAATATGTCACATTTAGATCTTATCTTATGGAAACGGGCATTAAATTCCTCCTCAGATCCTCCTTCCTCTGTGGAGAGACGCCGACAGACTCCATACGATCTGATGTAGGCCTCACCTCAGGCTGCTCACCACCAGGTCGAAGGTGTTCTCTTTAAACGGCAGAAACTCCTCGTCAGCGAGAACGCACCGAGTCGGGATCTCGCTCTTCCTCCTCTGCTTCTGGAGGAGGATTGCTTCTTTAGTTAAATAATAAAATGTGAAAACTTTATAAACAGACGGATAAAGAACCTGCAGGCTCACCAGAGTTTCCTCAGAGCCGTCGGTGAGGAACAAACGCTCCACCACCTCCTGAAACAGACAGTGTGTAACAGAGTGATTGATCCAGAGTGATTGATCCAGAGTGATTGATCCAGTGTGTAACAGTGTGAATACGGGCTGTACCTGGCTCAGGTGTTCTGCTATGTGACCTTTGCCCCCACCGAGGTCCAGAGCCAGAGGGAACGTCCTGAGGAGGCGGGAAGAGGGACGACGTTAGAGAGGAAGCAGACAGAGACAGTAACGCTGTTCAATGAGAAACTCACCTCGCGATGTCATAGACCCGATCTGCCACTCGACTGCCAACCTGCAATCAATCAATCAATCAGTCAGTCAATCAATCAATCAGTCAATCAATCAGTCAATCAATCAATCAGTCAATCAATCAATCAATCAATCAATCAATCAATCAGTCAATCAGTCAATCAATCAATCAATCAGTCAATCAATCAGTCAATCAATCAGTCAATCAATCAATCAATCAGTCAATCAATCAGTCAATCAATCAGTCAATCAGTCAATCAATCAGTCAATCAATCAGTCAATCAGTCAATCAGTCAGTCAATCAATCAATCAGTCAATCAGTCAATCAATCAGTCAATCAGTCAATCAATCAGTCAATCAATCAGTCAGTCAGTCAATCAATCAATCAGTCAATCAATCAGTCAATCAATCAATCAATCAGTCAATCAATCAGTCAATCAATCAGTCAATCAATCAGTCAATCAGTCAATCAATCAATCAATCAGTCAATCAATCAGTCAATCAATCAGTCAATCAATCAATCAGTCAATCAATCAGTCAATCAATCAGTCAATCAATCAATCAATCAATCAGTCAATCAATCAATCAATCAATCAGTCAATCAATCAGTCAATCAATCAGTCAGGTTTTCTCTACTCTTTAAAGGTCCTGATTCTTCTCTGTGTGTTTACTCTCTTATTGTTTTTACATTTAAAAATAAAAGAACAAAATGTTCATAAAATAGCAGCCAGAGTGGGTGGGGGGGCAGTGGGTACCGGGGGGCAGTGAGTACCGGGGGGGCAGTGAGTACCGGGGGGCAGTGAGTACCGGGGGGCAGTGAGTACCGGGGGCAGTGGGTACCGGGGGGCAGTGAGTACCGGGGGGCAGTGAGTACCGGGGGGGGGCAGTGAGTACCGGGGGGCAGTGGGCAGTGAGTACCGGGGGCAGTGGGTACCGGGGGGCAGTGGGTACCGGGGGCAGTGGGTACCGGGGGGCAGTGGGTACCGGGGGGCAGTGAGTACCGGGGGGGGTACCGGGGGGCAGTGGGTACAGTGGGTACCGGGGGGGCAGTGAGTACCGGGGGGGCAGTGGGTACCGGGGGCAGTGAGTGGGGGGCAGTGGGTACCGGGGGGCAGTGAGTACCGGGGGGGCAGTGGGTACCGGGGGGCAGTGAGTGGGGGGGCAGTGGGTACCGGGGGGGGGCAGTGGGTACCGGGGGGCAGTGGGCGGGGCTCCTACCTCGTCCCTCAGGTAGTCGTACTGCTGTCCGTCCTGAAGAGAACCGGCCCAGTTCTTCTGCCTCTTCTTCATCTCCCTGTTGAACACGTTCATGGTTCCGCTGTTCGACCCCGACAGTCCTCTGCGGGCTCCGGACCGGGACAGGAACCGGCTCCAGCTGCCAGAGGAGGCTGCCGGAGCGGAGCCGGATCCCCGCAGGACTCTGAGACACAGTCCGCTGCTCATGGTGCCGCTCGGCCCGGATTAAAGACAGAAACAGCACCGGAGCGCACTGCTTCCGGTCTGCTTCCGAGTCCCGTTCCCGTCCTCCGCTGTCTGACCTCCGCGAGGAGGAGGCGGGAAAACACGGACCTGGATCCTACTGGGCTCACTGGAAACTGTGGAACCGGATCAGAGTCTGGAACTGGACTAACAACAGTTTATTATTATTGTTATTATTATTATTATTATTATTATTATTATTATTATTATTATTATTATATTCTGTTTTATATTATATATTATATCACATTATACTAATTATTTTCTATATATAGTATATATAAGTACAATATAACAGCAGTGTAATGAAATACTAATAAATAATAAATACTGCGCTTTTATTTATTTTAATGTTTTTTGACGTTTACATTATGTGACATTAAAATTATATAATAATACAACAAACACAAAGAAACAGTTACAAAACGGTCCGAAAGTTGCGTAACAAGTGATTTTACCAATCAATAATGATGATTTCCTTTCTGCCATTAAACTAATATATTAATTGTTTAATCATAAAATACTACTAATAATAAAAATAAGGAACACAAACTAGAGATTAGTGATATGAAGATAAAGACTCATTAAATTATTAGATTAAATAAAATCAGTGCATATCTAACAAAATACGGTTGAATTTATTAGACTTTATTATTATGACTGTAGTTAATAATTAATAATCAATAATTGTACATTAATCAATTAAAGGATTAAAAACATAAAGGTAACTTTTACTTTAAAATACTGAATACTTTTGGAGACATGAATCCATCTACATAACTCTAAATGTTGTGAAATAAATTAAATACTTATAATAATCGTTTATTGATTAATAACAGCTTCCTGTAACCGTAGTTCGCGTTTTTCTTCGTGTGTCCCACTCGGCTCGCCTTACCAAAAAAGGGGCGGGAAGAGAGAAAAGATCACGGGAGAGTTGCATGCTGGGAAAACACGTGTACCAGAAAAGCGGAGAGGTATCGGTAAACTTTATTATTGATTATTGATTGATTATAAACGTCGTTTTAAACCCGTTCTTACACGCTGTCACAAGCTCGCGCTCAGCAGCGTTAACCGCCGTCTGGTTTTCCCGCCGTTGCTTCGTCTTCTTCACGGTTCCGACATTTTGTTTACATGTGAGGCACAGCGGAGAGCAGCGACAGTGAGACAGTGAGACAGTGAGACAGTTTCAGACCTTTATCTTTAATTTAACTACTTATATTACATATTTAAAACAACAGCTGGAGCTCCGGAGTTTGAAGGACTGTTCAGCGGTTGTTCCCCCGGAGAAAGGACTCCTCTGTCGGCCGTTAAAGGTTCAGTTTGTGGTGTTTTACAGGGCAGACAGTCAGCTGCCTTTAATGGACACTTTCATCACTTATAACCAGTTTATTGAGTTTTTAACATTTTATAAAAGAGCCTGAAGTCATACAAATCTAATGATTACACTGAAGTGCATTTAAAAAAATAGTATAATTATCTTTATTTAAATTGCACCATGGGGTTTTACTCACAGTCTCTTGTCATCAAACATATAAATTAATAATATAACTGCGTAATAATCAACATTGCAATATAGAAATTAGCATGAACCTGTAATTTCCTGTGTCCTGGTCTTCAAATATTGCTCTTTAAATGTAAGAAAACATGTTTATTTGTCCCCAAAATGTCACATCTTAACGATTTAAGTGGAAATTATATTTTAGATGGAAAATGGATCATTCTCACACGAATCGTGAATCATATCAGAATCACAATATCGGTCAAAATAATCTCAATATGATGTTTTTACCATATCGCGCAGCCTTTAGTAATACCGTGACATAAAGGACAATATACCATCCCAAACATTAATACATTCACATACGCCTAACATAATGTAAAATATAAAACTCATGGTCATTCGACTTACACGTAACATATACACCCACATAAACTATATATAATACCAAACTTAAATGCAATTAATGAAGTTATGAAACAGCTAAACAGCAATATAAACACATAGTGTAACCTAAAGCAGTGATTGGAGCCAAAGGGACAAAACAAACCTGTATTCATATCTGTGCAAAATACCTTCTGACATCGGATTTTATTTATTTATTTGCACAATTAAACACAACAGCAGAATCAAAAGTATAAGAAAATAAGCAAATTGACCTAATTAAGTGACTAGTATCATTAATTGATTATAATAATGTTTTAATAACATTTTCAACCTGCAGACTGATCAGTTACTTGCTTATTTGTGTCAGAACTAGTTATTTATAATCATTATTCTTTCTCTTTCTGTCCTTTTACATAAAAGATACCAGAGTTCTCCAATAAACGTTTAATATAAACCAAAACTAGGAGCTAAAAGAGGCTGAGAAGAGTCTAGAAAGTGAAGAGGCTTGTTGCTATACGTTACCTAACAATATGCCCTGTTTTTATTTGTCAGGTGACACTTGAAGTTTGCCGGCATGTCGTCCAAAAAGAGCGGCGACGAGCGCTTCCTGCGGGTGCAGAAGGACCCCAGGTTCTGGGAAATGCCCGAGAGAGAGCGCAAGATCAAGATCGACAAGCGTTTCCAGTCCATGTTCCACGACAAGCGCTTCAAGGTGAAGTACACGGTGGACAAGCGAGGCCGTCCCATCAACCACACCTCCACAGAAGACCTGAAGCGCTTCTACAACGTCTCTGACTCTGAGGAGGAGGAAGAGGAGGACGAGGAGGAGGGGAAGAAAAAGAAGAAAGTGAAGGAGAAGGTGGTGAAGGCCGAGGAAGAGGAGCAGAGCAAAGCTAAAGCGGAGCCTGAACGTGGAGTCCGAGTTATTGAAGAGGGCGAGGAAGACGATGATGAGGAGCAGTCTGCAGAGGATGATCTGGGAGAAAGCGTCACAGAGGGCAGTGAGGAGGATGAAGACGACGATGAAGAAGACGAGAGCGATGTGGAGAGCGGGTCAGACGAGGAGGCGGAGTCCGGTCTGGACTCAGACAGTGACAGCGGGCCGGATCTGGCCAGAGGGAAGGGAAACATAGAGACGAGCTCAGACGAAGACGACGACAGCGACGACGATGAAGACGAAGACGAGGTGGGCGCCATCCTGAAGAAGGAGGAAGAGGAGATTGAACACGACTGGGGAGAGCTGTGCAAGGACGCTCCACGGAACGACGAGGTGAGGTGGCGTCCGGTGGGGGGGGGGGGGGGGGGACAGTTTGAACACGTTTGAACTGTTTGTGAATGTTTCAGGTTTCGACCCGACTCGCCGTCTGCAACATGGACTGGGACCGGATTAAAGCCAAAGACCTGCTGGCTCTGCTCAACTCCTTCACACCTGAAGGAGGCGCCGTGCTGTCTGTGAAGGTAAAGCTGCTCTGACTGTATTTTATTTTGAAAATGTCTCTATTCCCAACTTCCTGTCAATCTGGAAATGGATGAAATTGATAAAATATCCTAAAAATAATAATAGATTATAGATTTTAATCGTATTTTAGCTCCTCGCTGTTGTGTCTGTAAAGTGAGATTAACTGCGGTGCATTCTGGGTATTGTCCAGATCTACCCATCAGAGTTTGGGAGGGAGAGGTTGAGGGCGGAGCAGACTCAGGGACCGCTGGAGCTCAGAGCTCTGCCCGACGACTCAGACGACGACACTGAGGAGGAGAAGTAATACACACACACACACACACACACACACACACACACACACACACACACACACACACACCAGGAGTTACTCTGAACTTAAAGGACCAGTGTGTAGGAGTTAGCGGTGCCTTGCAGTTTAGTTTCAGATTGCAAACATGATGAAGAAACTACGGTGGCTGTGAAAACCAAACACTGATCTACAGTCAGTGTTTGGTTTGTCCTTCATGGGCTCCTGTAGGAACATGGAGAAGTCCTAAACATTGATTAAAACGTCTCATTCTAAGGTAGAGATTCTTATATTCATTATAATGTACACTGATAAGTTATAATTGATAGAAAATGTGTTTTAATGCGTCACCAGTACTGAGGACGTCTGATCTTTGTCCACGAGTTCCCTTAGTTCTGTATCACAAACCTCTGTTGAACATTGGCGTACATGTCTCAGTATTTTGTCTGTGTAAATAAAATAAAAGTTGTTAAATAATTCCCTAAAGATATCTACTTTCATTCCCCACAACCCCAATAAGCAGCTTCAGTGTTTGGACCTCAGAATAAAACCCTGCAGTGCTGGTGAAGTTCTCTTAAACGCCGACGTAAACACAACTAGTTTAACACTAAGACAACAAAATGGATTAAAAGATTCAGGGTTATGGTTGTGATGAGTTTGGGTTCTGACACCGGATGTGTTTTTAGGAATAAATTAGTATTGATCTCACTGTGACAACAAAACCAACATGGAACCAGTTTTCCTTCATATTCTTTCAACAGTACGGACATAAAATTATATCTTGAATTAAATTTAATTAAATAAACCTGCAGGACCTCAGTTTATTATCATTAATGTGTGTGTGTGTGTGTGTGTGTGTGGGTCTCCTCTCAGGGTTTACAGAGAGAAGATGCGGGACTACCAGTTCAAGCGACTGAAGTATTTCTATGCCGTTGTGGAGTGCGACTCAGTCGACACCGCCGCCAAGATCTACGCCGAGTGTGACGGCTACGAGTACGAGAGCAGCTGCTCCATGCTGGACCTCCGGTAGGAGTCGCAGAGCGCCGACAACACAAACAGTACCTGAAGAGAATCCAGCCAGCAGTGATCTCTAATCGATCATTTTTACTCCTCCACTGATCAGGTTCATTCCTGATGATGTAAAGTTTGACGAAGAGCCCAAAGATGTGGCGACGGATGTGAACCTCGCCGCCTACACGCCCAAACTGTTCACCTCATCGGCCACAACGACCTCAAAGGTAAAGAGGTGAATGGTTACCTTACAGGAAGCTCAGTAGTTCCTCGGTGACGCTGATGGAAGACGGGACGCTGAGCGACGTACAGATGTTACAGAGAGTTAACAGCAACCAAACTCTGTCTCAGATATTAACATCAGCTTTATTGTTTTGTTGTCGACTCCTGATATTTACTTCCAGTTTACAGAAAGATTAGCCACTTCCTCTGCTGATGATTCAAAGAGAACAACATTCAACAGTGTGACCAAACAAACTCTCAGAACTACAGTACTTCATTATAAAGCAGTTTAGATATTATGTTTGACCTCATTAAGATTTCAGTAATACTTGGATTCATAGTGCAGCTGTATACAGTTGCAAGGTTAAACTCCCCTAAAGAGCCGATCTCCAGTCTTCCCAGTACATTATAGTTTATAATTTATAATTTATAATGGCGACTGGAGAAAGGACAGTGGTGTAAAGTGTACAGAATTTCAAAATAAAAGAAACAGGATGTTGGGTCTGACGTGTCTGCGTTGAACCAATCAGGTGCAGCTGACGTGGGACGAGACGGACCACGAGCGCGTGACCGCCCTGAACAGGAACTTCAACAAGGGCGAGCTGCTGGACATGGACTTCAACGCATACCTGGCCTCCTCCAGTGAGGACGAAGAGGAGGAGGGAGGGTTTGTGTTTGGAGAGGAGGATGGAGACAGCACAGCAGGAGGTGAGACAGCAACCAGAGAGACATTACTGTGGGGAGTAACGGGGCTGTAGCAGCACTCAGGAGCTGTGTGATTCTTTGTGTCGTAGATGAACCGACTGAGGAACCCGACGAGGAGGAGAAACCACAGAAAGACGAAGAGAAGAAGAAGATAAAGAAAAATAAAAGTGAGGAGCAGATCTCCAAATACAGAGAGCTGCTGAAAGGAATCCAGGACAAAGAGAAGAAGATACAGGAAGACAAAGACATGGAGATGGAGATCACCTGGATGCCAGGTACGACAATACACTGTACCTGTATTGATTATTGATCAGTATACACTGTATCTTTATGGGTGATATTGATCAGAATACACTGTATCTTATCTGCAGTCAGATAATGAACTGATATTTGATCGTCTGCAGGGCTGAAGGAGACGACGGAGCAGCTGGTGAAGAAGAAGCTGGAGGGGAAGGACAAGCTGACGCCCTGGGAGGAGTTCTTGGAGAAGAAGAAAGGCAGAAAGAAGCAGAAGAAATCTCAAAGAAAACAGGTGAGTAACAACCCGTAACAGCAGGTGTATTCCTGAAACTGAAAGAGAGAAAGTTCAGCTCCCTCTGTAGTTTTATTAATCAGTTTAATATTTGTTTCTTGATTCAGGGAGACAGTGAGGAAGAGCTCAGCGAGGACGAGCTTCCTCCTGACGTCGATCTCAGCGACCCCTTCTTCGCCGAGGAGCTCGCTGCTACAGGTGATCAATACTCTGAATGAACCAATCACAGCAGACGGGTTGGAGGACATGCTGGTGTCTTTTTAATTCATATAAATAATAATTAAATGTTGAGGCAGACGGGGAGAAAAGAACGTGAAAGCAGATTGTTTATCGCTGTCTGATTGTGTCTGCAGACGGGAAGAAACAGAAGGGGAAGAAAAAGAAGAAGGAAGAGGAGCGGACAGCTGAGGAGGAAGAGGAGCTGAAGAAACAAAAGGTCAGAGTTTAATCCCAGCAGCTTCGTGAAATCACCAAACCTGTGGACCAGAGCTCAACGTGTGTGTGTGTGTGTGTGTGTGCGTGCGCAGGCGGAGATGGCTCTGCTGATGGAGGACGAAGACGACGAGGACGGCAAACACAAACACTTCAACTACGACCGGATCGTGGAGCAGCAGAACCTGAGCAAGAAGAAGAGGAAGAAGCTGCTGAAGAAGGGCGAGGAGTCGCTGGAGGGCGACGACTTCCAGGTCGGACAGCGGGACCAGAACTCCAAAAACCAACCGCATACACCCACTGTGTGTCATTATGTATTAAACCCTCTTCTGTCTGTCTGTCTGTCTGTCTGTCTGTCTGTCTGTCTCCAGGTGGACGTTAAAGACCCTCGTTTCCAGGCCATGTTCACCTCCCACCTGTTCAACCTGGACCCGTCCCACCCCGGCTACAAGAAGACCAAAGCCACGCAGAGCATCCTGACAGAGAAGCAGCGCAGACGAGAGGAGGAGCAGCGCCGGACGGAGGACACGCTCGGGGGGAGGGAGGAGGCAGCCGCCGGGAAACAGGAAGTGGCGGGAAAGAAACGGGAAAATGACTCTGACGCTCCGTCGGTCGAGGCCACTTCGAAGACATCCATGGACCCCGGTCTGTCTCTGCTCGTCAAGTCCATTAAGAGCAAAACGGAGCAGTTTCAAGCTCGGAAGAAACAGAAGCTTGTTTAGGTCTGAGACCACAATCAGAGACTGTTGTTCACTGACTGAGACTGTTGTTCACTGACTGAGACTGTTGTTCACACACTGACTGAGACTGTTGTTCACACACTGACTGAGACTGTTGTTCACTGACTGAGACTGTTGTTCACTGACTGAGACTGTTGTTCACTGACTGAGACTGTTGTTCACACACTGAGACTGTTCAGAGACATTTTTAGTAAAAACTGAATCCTGTTGCCTCCGATCATGTTGAAATGTTTTATTTTGAAACAGAAGATCAGATTTACGAAGCTCTACAGTTATTTCAGAGTCATTGCACATGGTAGCAGTGATTGATCGGACCTCATGCAACAACGGGTCGGTTCTTGGGACGGAAACTGTGACCCCCCCTCGCACAAACAGCACAGAGCAGATCGCACTGGGAGGAACTTTATCTCTGCGCTCTGATGGCAGCTGTACTGTTCATATTAAAACAAATATTCTGAACAAAGACCGCAGAGTCTCTTTAATATCTTTGTGAATGAAACAAAGATATCAAACTGAGCGGGAGAGGCAGCGTTATCTGGCAGGTTCAGGGGGTAGATGCTGCAGCCCGACCGATTCTTATTAGAACAACATTGATCTTACAGGGAAGACCTGACAGATTACTGATGTTGTAGCCGGTAGAGTGAATATCTGAGCTGGAATGAAAATGACTGCAAAAAGTCCTCAAAAGGCTGCTTTCACTAAACAAATAACTTCATTAACATTTATATTAATACATTTATATTATCCAACTCATACGAGCAGGAGGGTTTGGATCTGAAAATGTTCTTGCACGAGGTCCGTTACCTGCCGATCAAACAGTGGTTTGGATTGGTCCTTAGATTTGACGTAACTCATTCAGAACATCCTCAAATACTTTATCTTTACACACAACTTCCTGATTACTGAGTGGAGACGTGCCAGCGTGGCACAAATGTGTTTCTTTACATTTCATCTGACAGCTACCTGCAATATTTCAAAGTCCTACAGCTGCTTCACAATAAAAGCCTCTTGCTTTAATTGATGTGACAGTTGAGGACTGAAACTAAACCACAACAAACACAGAGAGACTGCGACTGAAGCGGGATGAATCAGGAAGTCAAAGGCACTTCTACACAAGTATTATTATAATTATCTATATCATCATTAACAGCTAAAGTACAGCAGCATTAGTTCAGTGGGAGATTAACGTAACACTTGATCTCTGCAGCCCCTTTCAGACCTGGAAGGTTATTATCTGTTACAAGGCTCATTAAGTAGCGTTATTAATGTGCTAACTACATTCAGCTTCAGAGCAGACAGATCTTACTGCTGTTAACAGCCAGGTGTCCGAACGAACACAAACAGGTTTTTCTGGCTGTAATCGTTCATATTGGAGTCAGGTGACGACATTTATATCATGCAGAAAGTTTAATTCCTGCTTATGAACAAGAGGAAGCAACAAAACCCTGAAAACCACCCGACTGTTGTTTTAAGATGGAGGAACATTGTGACTCTTTCTGCTCCAACTACCTGAGAAAGCATTTAAAGCAAAGTTACTGGTTCTTGTAGAAAGTGTAAAGATTATCCGTCATGTCTGAAAGGGGCTTTTAATCACAGTAACAGGGTCTGTGGTCTGTGGTCTGCTCCTATGGTCCCGGGTATTCGAACACGGCAGCGGCTCCCATCCCGGTGCCGATGCACATGGACACGACGCCATACGCCCTGCGGGGAGGGAAACACGAGAGGGGGGAACTGTGAGAAAGCTCGGTAACACACAGCCGAGTGTCGTCGGCGCGGCGGCTGAGACGAACCTGCGTCCTCGGCGTCGGAGCTCGTTGAGCAGCGTCACCACCTGTCGAGCTCCAGTGCAGCCCAGAGGGTGACCCAGAGCGATGGCTCCTCCGTTGGGATTCACCTTCTCCGGAGGGATTCCCAGCTTCTCCACGCAGTACACCGCCTGGGGGGGGAACACGTTATCGATAAGGTCTCAGGAGATCCACACTCAGACGTCTGAACTCACCTGACTGGCAAAGGCCTCGTTGATTTCAAACACGTCGATATCGGACACAGTCAGACCTGAAGCGGAGACAGAGATCGTTAATACTGAAGAGCTGTAGCAAGTAAAGCTAACGATGTATTTAACTTCTCTTGCAGACATTGCTAACAGCGGCTAATGGCTAATTTAGCTAGAGGTTGGTTTTGTGCTGGAACGCGATCAGCTCAGGATTGATGTCGTTCCGATTGCGAACTTCCGAGGTAAATGGATCGCATTAGCATAACCACAGCCACGGACCCTTCCTGAGCCCCGCCCCTTTTGACTCTGTGCTCCAATGACAGTTGAGCAAGCGTAGATTAGCTTAGCATGTAGCATATCTAAGTACAGGAACTCCACATTTCTTTCACAGGATGGTGAAGTCATGACCGGCCCTACTCTGGCTCTGTTTCATGACTCCGCCATCCTGGGATACAAAATATCGCGTACAGGAAAAGAAAGTCGACCAAGGTTTGCTCAACTGTCATTGGAGCGCAAAGCAAAAAGGGGCGGGGCTTAGGGAGGGTCCCCATTTGGACGAGCCGTCCCCGGTTACCTGCGCTGGGTTGCACCAGCTGATGCTAACATTGGTTTAGTACCACGTCTTACCGGCCTGCTCCAGAGCCGCAGGGATGGCGAACGCTGGTCCAATACCCATAACGTCAGGAGGGACCCCCACCACTGCGCTGGCCCTCAGGACCCCCAGGACCGGCAGACCCAGAGCTTCGACCGCTGACCTGCGACCGACCAGCACGGCCGCCGCTCCGTCACTCACCTGGCTGGAGTTACCTGAGACAGAACGTGTGTGTGGTTAAAACCGGCTGAGAGGGGTCAGTTCACCTGTCGGCTGAGGAAGACTCACCTGCCGTGGTGCTGCCGTCAGGTTTGAACGCCGGCCGGAGCTTACTGAGTCCCGCCATGGTCGTTCCCGCTCTGATCCCCTCGTCCTTAGCGACGGTCACCTCGCGCTCTTTACCGCTGTCGTCTATAACCTTGGTGGTGACGGGAACGATCTCCTGCTCGAACAGACCCGAGCTCTGCGCCCGCGCTGCTCTGCGAACGGGACGAGGAACCAGCTCGGTTAGCTCGTTAGAGATTAATTACACAACAAGATCCAAAATCTGATCCCCAAAGAAATGTTGATGTTATTTGACTAAAAACTGTTAATTTTCACATAATTTTAGACTCTGAGCACTAAAATATTTAATAAATCACTTTCAGTTACATCTGTGTTGGTTCTGGCGCCACCTGTGGACAGACGCGGTAGTGTGTCTCTGATGGTCCGGTTTTATGTGGTTCATACGAAAGGTTCAGTATTGTGTGTTATAGTAAAGCACCTGACCTCCGCCACGGCAGACAAACACTCACTTTAGTTGCGAGCTGAGAGCGAAGGCGTCCTGTTTTTCTCTGGAGACTCCGAATCTCTCAGCGACGTTCTCCGACGTGATGCTGCAGAAACACACACAGTTCAGACGTCTCCAACATTAACCGATCATCTGATCTATAACCCGTCAGTTCTAACAGACGCTGTGAATCTATTCATTATTTGTTATTTTAATTTGGGAATTAAAACAGAATTTGTGGCCCTTTAATAAAGTTTGGGATCATAATAGAACTTTATTTATTGATTTGATAAATGTTTGAGCTTTCTTTGAAATATTTTGGTGATATTTTAGAAGAACTTTAACAACATTTTAATAACTCAATAACAGGACGATACATTTCTATTGGGGATTATATAAACACAATCTATGGCTGTAACAAAATTCTGGATTCTGACAAATTTCAGAATACAATAATTAGATTTTGTGTCACATTGATGTTTTCAGATTAAATAAAAACATTTTAGTTTCCTATCAGAACAGATTTCAGATTCTAACCAGTCCATTATACAACGTTCATATCAGGAGAACTTGAACTATTCAGGGATTATAACATGTGGTTGGGATTATAGACTGTCTTTCCCAACCACAACACATATATATGTTTTATAGAAATAAGTTTTAGGGATGTAGAATAAAATTTAGGTTTGTAACAAAATCATTTTGGGATTAAAAGAAATGTTGCTGAAACAAAATTTGAGATTAGAGCAAATTTAGGGTCAAAACAATGAGAAAATATCTTTATTCTGGGATTATATCCCTTATAAATCGGGATTAAAACCAATTCTGAGGTTGCTTTAACTAATTCTGCCATCACAAAGTTCACCTTCAGAACAATATGTCAGATTTTCAGGGAGCAACAAAATAAAATTAAACTTTTTGTTGGGAATCGGC